GGGCTAGTGATGTTTCAAGTGGTAAGATTATGAGCTTTAATAAGTAAAATTATCCCAGCTACAATGACAGACAACAAATATTACATTTTATAGTATTACAACTAAAACCGTTTGACACCGCCACCGCAGTTTGTCCTTCGTGAGCCTTCGTAGACAAGATGGCGGCTGCCTGTCGTGGCGACAAGCGACCATGGAGATATAAACAGCTTTTTATAAGGTAAAAATAATAAAACAAGGTCTTTGTCTGCAATGATTAGACATGTTTTTTATTATTGTCATTAGTGATTATCTCAATTTCGGCTAAAAGAATTGACAAAATCCTACACACTGTGCCTTTAAATTATGAAAATGGTTCAACTGTGTTGCAAAATACAATATCAGTATTTTTTCTCTTCACAATAAACAGGTTTTAAGGACAAACCTTTAAATTAAACTAAAAAATTAATATTAAATCAAACAGTTTAGTCTTGAAATTTAAATGAAAAAGTTATTGCAGGTGACAGTTGTTGGAGGAATTTATTTAAGTAATAATTATTTTGATAAATAAGAAGTGATGGAATAAGGTTGCAGGAGAAGAGCTGGGCTAATATAAATATATTTCTACCAACTCCTTTAGAGCGTATGAAAACTGTATATTTGTAATGTTTATGTTCAATATAACTTATTAAAACAAATAATGTCACTGTTCATCAAGACGTTTCAGTTTAAAAATAGTAATATTGGAAACAAAACTAAACGGTTTTGTTAGAATGTTGTCTTTAACACATTTAAACATGCTGTGGAGAACAGTTTCAGTCAGATGTTTACAGATGTTTACATACAGTTGTTTGGTTTGAGCGTCCAACAAGCCGCTCGTAGAAGCTTGCTTCGCTTTTGCTACAACGTAGTAGTGCAAATCTTTACAAACAAAAGTCACCATGTCTGTAAGTTCTGCTGAGAATCAGCTGATGTTAGTGATTCCTTTTGTTTTTGCTCCACCTTGTTATCGAAAGCTAACGTTAGCACTGAAAGTCAACTGGATGTAAACATATGGCAAGCCAGGAGTGATTAAATATAAAAACATTTCAGACGTGCGCACAAGAAGCCACGGGGAAGAAATCAATCCCATGTCCTGTGAATCGATTTTCCCAAATTTAAATAAAATCGATCCAAGATCGATTAAATCAATTTTTGTGCCCAGCCCTCATAGAATTTTAAATCAAGATGAATTACCATATTTTTCGGACTATATGCCGCAACTTTTTTCCTGAACTTTGAACCATGCGGCTCATAGTCCGGTGCGGCTTATTCATAATTTTTTTTTCTTCAGCCACCAGGGGGCTCTTATGCTCCATTTGCTTCAACCACTCGCTTCAAAATAAGAAAGGGAAAAAAAAAGCGATCGCTTCCAGAGCAGACTGTTGACCAGGAAGCAGCGATTTAAAGATAGTCAATGGCCAAAAACTCATAAAAGGGGATAAAACAGACATTTTTCACGGTGGAATCTGACTGATAAAAACTTTGGAGCTTAATCCAGGACCAGTTTGTGGATAAACATCGAGTGAAGAGCTGCGGACCTTTTCCTCATTGCACTCCCCGGGGAAGGAATTCCATGCAGTGACGTATGCTGGAGTGGGAGGGCTTTCCCAGCACAGCTTCAGAGCCAGCATTACCCCGGGAGGACAACAGATACCGCTGTGTGACGCAGCTTTTCTCAGCTTGTTTAACTCCGACACTGAAGAGGACTTCGATGGTTTCAGTGCGCCGGAGGACGATGAATGAGACTTTTTGTTGGATCAGAAACTGTTAAAACTACCAAAATAAAGTCAGTTAAATGAACCGTATTCCTCCGAACTTTTAATTCCTAAAGGTTTGCTTTTTATGTTTTGATGTTGAATTCACTTTTTTTGATGACAATTTTGGGTGTACTGTTTTTTTTTATGTTGGGGGTGCGGCTTTTATGTTAATGTTCGCGGGTTGTTTTTTTTTAAAAATGGCGGGTGCGGCTTATAGTCCAAAAAATACAGTACTACAAATGTTGCAAAAGATTTGAAAAAAAAAAATGCAATAACGGAGTTTAAAAATGCACATGTTCTGTTATTACAACACTTTAATCACCACACCTGCAAGCTGGGGGCTTTTTTTAGGATGCAGTTTGAATTTTTTCTCTTTTCCCCACAATCCTTGGCAATATTTCACAAAAACCATTTGAAATTCACAGACAGCTACAGATTTGTTCCCACTTCTGTCCTTCGTAGAGAATATCTTGTTCCTCTTAAAAAGATAAATGAAAACGTTCGCTCTTCACGGTGCGATGAACGAGCTCACCTTGTAAACAACTCTTCTTCAGGTCAATGCGTTCCAGTAAAGGAATGAGGTAGGCTCCACTCTTCCCAGTGCCGTTCTTTGCTCTGGCCAGAATATCTCTCCCAGACAGGGCGATGGGAATGCTTTCCTCCTGCAATTAAAAAATAAAAATACACAACCTCATCTAACAGTTTCTAATATTTAACATCAAGGTTTTGTTTCTTCTGTTCTCTGGCTGTTCAGGGAGTTCCCATTTAATCCTCGGTGCAGAAACGCAAAGAGGCCAAAACTCAAATTTATTAGTTAATTCATAAAGTTTTATCAGTAAGGACTGTAAAAATAGTTTGTCCCAAAAGTAAGTTAAAACTTTACTTGTTTGGACAATTCTGCATGAAATTCAAGACGTCATGAGGAGATTTAGGACAAGTTTGATAATCAGTCAAACTTGTGTCCTGAAGTCTATAAATGTCTGAACTTAAATGTGTACCAGTTCAACTTCCAGATGAACCACTGCAGCACAGCTCAGCCTTGAACCCAGGATTTATACACAATTTTTAAAACTCATCTTTTTCAGACACCTTTTCTAATATTTGTCAACGTAAGACATGTTTTTACATCAAAATGTCTACATTTACTGTAAATCTTTCAGCAAAGTTTTTATCGGGATGCTTTAAAGATTATAAAAAGGCAAACTGGATTGTAAAGAACAAATAAAACACGAATACAATTTTTTTTCTTGATAAATTCTAAACTTACTAACAGTATTTAAAGTCTTCATAATAAAATGACGTTAAACCATGTTGCTATTTATAATTAAAATAGAAAAATATACTTTAAGGCTGGATGATGAAAAGGTTTCAAACTGAAACATAATATCTTTAAGTTTAAAACCAAGATATTGAAGCCTAAACCCTTAAAGTTTAGACTTGATACAGTAGATGAACAAAAAACTTTTATATCTTTTATGTTCCAAATTATTTTGCTTGTTTAAATTTTCAAAACAAACATTTGAAAAATACGGTAATAAAAGCGTAGATATGAGAATAAATTTGACCCATCATATTGAAATGAGGATTATTTCAGATTCCTGGATTTAAACGCTACATTTCGATACCTGGATCATTCTGATATTAGGGCTGTGTATTGGCAAGAATTTGGCGATACGATACATATCATAACTAGGCCTGTCGCGATAGTCAATAAATCAATTAATCGCACGATAACTTTTTTTGAGGTCGGTAAAAAAAAGGGGCCGATAAGTTTCATTTTCCTGCTTGTTTGTTTACTTCGTGTCTCTCCCTCTCTCTGCTCCGCTGCACAGGATGAGCTCCTGCAGCTGACCCCTCCCCTCCTGTTTTCTTAGTGTGGGAGGAGTCAACTCCCGCTTTAGCATGAGAGCTCGTTGCTAAACGAAACGTTTCAAAGCAGAACGCGGCTGCTGAAGTGTCGGGGCACTAAAGCCTGGATTTCGCTGCGGAGGGAGAGAGAGAGGGAGAGAGAGAGAGAGGGAGAGAGAGAGAGAGAGAGAGAGAGAGAGAGAGAGAGAGAGAGAAGAAGGGGTGGGGGCTGAAACTCGCCCAGACCCGCGACAAATTCGTCAAGACTTTACCTGTAGCTCCCAAAAATACCAGGAAACTTAAACGCGAGATCTGTGTTTTAACTAAACACCCAAAAAAACCCTGTAGCTGTCCCAGAAACTCATGAGGAAAACTCTGAACTGTCTGATTTCCTCCCGCAGCGCTCTGACTGTCCCCTCCTCACACACACACACACACGTTTGTTCTTCTATCCTCATGGGGACTTTGCATTGACTTTCATTCATTTACCAGTATTTTCTATTACCATTTGACCCTAAACCTAGCCTACACTTTACATGGGATGTGAACTGGGCTTATGTCCCCATAAGAAACAGTGGGTCCTCACCAGGCTGTGTAGTTTGCTTCATCTCTAAAGAGATGCTGCTRTTTAATATTGTTTATTTACTGTCTTAATTGTGTGTGGTGTTTAATTTACATTTTGTTGTTCTTTGTTTTATTTTATTTTTATTCAAGTGCATTTTTTGTTAGAGACTGAGAGTCCACTTTGTTAAACATTCTTTTAAAAATTAAAGTTTATTGATTTATTACACTTACATATTATGCTTTTATAATTATTAGTTGTAAAACGGTCACCAGGCAATATTATCGTTTTTCGCAATAAATTTGAGACAATTAATCGCCCAGCAAAATTTGTTATCGTGACAGGCCTAATCATAACAGAGGGGTCACAATACGATATATCCCGATATATTGAGATACTGTAAGCAAGGCGATATATTGCGATTTTTTTTGTCCAAAAATTATATTAGGGGTGTGCCGATACCAGTATCGGGTCCGATACCAGCATCAAGTACTCTTACTCGTAAAAGCCGGCTGATACTCTTAACCGATACCGCTTTTTGTCCCCTCCTGTGCTGTGCTGCACAAAGGGTAAACAACAATCCATACCAGGCGGGGGCGCCAATGCACTGACAAGTTATTTCCGACCGCACCCCCGAATAACAGAAGAACGATGACGGTAGAAGAAGAAGTAACGTCGGCAGTTTGGAGATATTTTAAGATCGACACGGAGGACACCTAACAAGCAGACTGTCTGCTGTGCTCTGCTAACTGTCAAGAGGAGGAGTGAAAGTTGGATGTTTTAACAGCAGCAATTTGATTCAACATTTGAGGACAAGACATGACAAAGAATTCAAAGAGTTTCTGCTGCTAGCAGTAGCCTTCATAAACAGCACTATGCTGCAGTTGTTGCAGTAACTTCAATGCTATTTTTTCTTTCTTGTAGAACAAACTAAGACATAAGCAGAATATGGAAGGAAGTTTGTTGTAAAAACTTTTTATTTTTCCCTGTGGTTCTTCTGAGATTTTGTTTTAGTTTTTCCATTTAAGTTTGAACTGAAATTTACTGCACTTTATTACTATTAGTCTTTTTTTTTAGTTTAAGACTGAAGCAGAGTAAACTTCTACAGATGTGCTGCTAAAATTTACGTTATAGTTTACATTTTAATTTAAATTTGGTAGTTGCATGTTGAGGAAAATGTATAAAAATAACTTATTTTGTTTTTTAATGTATGCAACAGCATTTGTTTTGCAGTATTTGTTTTGTTAATACATTCAGAGGGAGTGTGGCCTTATAAAAAGAGCCTGTTTGAAATAAAATAAATGGTTTCAAAAGTTATGGTGTGATATATATACCAACTTATCTACTTGTCAGAGTTTGCACTACCTTTTTATTGTCAAACATAATATTTACCCATCAATTTTTGCATGATAATTGCATTTCATTTTCATTCTGTTTAATATTCAACAAGTTGAACAGATAATCCACACAAACCCCTACTTGGTATCGGTATCTACCTAAACTGAAGTACTCGTACTTGTACTCAGTCTTGAAAAAACTGGTATTGGGACACCCCTAAATTATATTAAATAAAAACCTCTAACTGAAATTTAAAAAAAAAAGAAAAGCTAATGTTTACTTACAATGCTAATGCTACCCTTACTCTCTGGCGCTCAAGAGGTAGAGGAACCAAATGGCTGGCTCACTGCTGCCAACTAGTGGTCAGAGACTGAACTACAACTTAAAATGAACGGTTGGCAAGAAGGTTGACATTTTAAACCTTAATTAAAAATCGATACAGGGCTTTAGAATATCGATACAGTATCGGGAAATGAAATATCGCGATATTTCAGTGTATCGATATTTTCTTACACCCCTATCTGATATAAGTGGATTCACATATGACTTAATTTGTCTTGTTGGTTTACAATAATACAATAAGATTTGGTCTGAATTCTAATTTTATGTCATTTTAATGAGGAATTCTTGATGTCATAAAAGAGTAAACTTTAAATAGTAGGTGAATATTGAGATTTCCCAGCTGGAAAGAAAAACATTTCTAGCTCACAGGGAAAATCTCAAAATTTAAATTTTTGTTGCTACTGCTCAAAAAAGTGCTTCAAAAATTTGTTTTGTGATTATATTTTAGACAGTTCATTCAAATTAAACATTGATAAGGCATTTATTCATTATGTTTGAATAAAATGCACTTTGTGCAAACATTTTAATCAAAACACTATTTGCCTATTTCTCCTTATACCACTTTTAAACTTGATGTGACGGGTCACAAATACTAAAACTAAATGTCCTTAAGAGTGACAGGAACCCTGTGCACCACTTGAGCTGAACCAAACCCTTTTTGTTCTGCTAAACTAAACTCTTCAAAACTTATTTAATGCTTCAATTAGGCAGTTGATCCCAGATTATACCATCTGTGACCCATCGCATCGAAACGAGGATTAAGTCTAAAAGTGGTATATGGAGAAATAGGCAAACAGTTTTGATTTAGGGCTGCCACGATTAATCGACGACTAATTTAATAGATTAATCGTTTTCTTTTTTTGTTGTTCTTTACTTTGTTTTTCTCTCCAAACTGCTTTGACACCTTCCACTGCCACATCTACCTTTCTGTCCTTGACACACATGCACAGTAGTGGTAACTGGGGTAGGCCGTGGACGTCACAAGACATTATACAGACAGGCTCTGGTATCATGGCTACCTGACAACAGAGCTCAAAGTGTGGGATCATTTTAAGAGAATGAAAGAGAAACCTGTGTAATATCTGCAGAGCAGAACTTACCTTCCACAGCAATTATTTTAGTTAGCATATAGCTAAAATCTAACCATGGTTATATAATAACAGCTGCATTCTGACGTGATAAGCTGTATGTTTTATATTCAATTAATGTATGATCTGATTAGTCGACTAATTGACTAAATAATCGGTGATTAATCGATTATTTAAATAAACGTTTGTGGCAGCCCTATTTTGATTAAAACACTAGCAAAAAATTAATTTCTTCATAATATAACAAAAATGCCTCAGTGTTTCATTTGAATGAACTGTGTGAAATATAATCATAAAATTTTTTGAAGCATTTTTTTGAGCAGTAGCAACAAAAAAAAGAAAAAAGAAAAGAAAAAAATCCATCTAAATTTCACAAAGTTTGTTTCTTTCCAGCTGGTAAATGTCATTTAAATACTATGAGATTTCCTCTTCATAATGAACTTAAAAATTCCTCAATAAAATTACATAAAATTAGGATTCAGACCAAATAAAGTAGGGATGTTGACATGTCGTCAGCAGCTGCTGCCATTTTCTTCCCAAACTGCTGTGACCAGATTTTGCAAGGCTGCTCGGTGCGTTTGCTTGTAATTTCCTCCTGTTTCATTATTTCTACGAATTTCAACAAATTGTGCTGCCGTCAGGTAGTTAGCTACAGCCTCGTCTTTGAGTTTTTACTTTTTATTGATGCGTTTTGAAGAGGGCTGTGTATTGGCAAGTATTTGGCGATACGATACATATCATGACAGAGGGGTCATGATACGATATATCCCGATATATTGCGATACTATAAGCAAGGCGATATATTGCGATTTCTTTTGTCCAAAAGTTCTATTAAATAAAAACCTCTTACTGGGAAAAAATGAAAAATCAAAATTCATTGTCTCAGAAAATTCTAATATTACATAGACATACTTTTGATACATTTAGCCGTGTTCTGCTTTGTATGTGTTTTATTTTATTTGTTTCATATTTCATCCATGTTTTCAATTATTAGACTAAATTTACCAATAAATAGTTTGAAAACATATTTTTTGCTCAGAGGCTGAACTACAACATAAAAATGAACGGTTGGCAGAAAAGTTGACATTTTAAACCTTAATTAAAAATCGATACAGGGCTTTAGAATATCGATACAGTATCAGGAAATGAAATATCGCGATATTTCAGTGTATCAATATTTTCTTACACCCCTAGTTTTGAAGAGACAATTTTTTGAAAAGAGGATCAAAGTAAATCACCCGAGTTTTTCAAGTGACCCCTTAAAAAGATAAGCTGCCACGAAGAACATTATTTTATCTGCCCTTGTTCTAAATTTGATAATGATTTGAAACAATGGTTTTTTTATCCAGAACAGCGCTTGTTGCAAAGTGTTTAGACGCTTGTCTTCGTCACCTGACACATTTAACACGCTGTCATTGGTTGAGGAGCTTTGTTTACAAAACAGATGTCCACATGGTTTTTAAATTGTTTTAATTTCCTTACTTTCTAAGACACATTAAGTTGATTTGATGCTACAGTTTGCCTTGTAATGTTGTTTTATACCTTTTCTGCTACTTTTGAATTGGCTATTATTAAGTTTTATTAGTTTTTAGGATACAAGATGCTTCCTACAAAAGCAGAATGTGAATCTTTTCCTAAAATTTCATGGCGATATCTTGAACAGTAAGTTATAAGAAAAAATAGGAAACAGCAGGTGAAATGGTCACACATTGGTTCTGCTGTGAACTGCAGCAAGAAAACATGAGCTGATTTCACCTAAACAAACATCAATAACTTCCCTCAGACTTGAGATAATCACATGATTGTGGTGTTATTTTGTATGGTTTGTAATGTTATTTTGGAATCAGATTTAATATTAGTGTAGGATTAAAAATTTATCCACATCCCTAAATAATGTATCACTGTAACCAACAAGACAAATTAAGGCACATCTCTGGTTCTGTTTGATATCAGGATGATCCAGGTTTCAAAACATAGCTTTTAAAGCAGGAATCTGAAAATGTCAGATAATTTTGACCAAATTTGACTTAATCCTCATTTTGATGTGATGGGTCACATTTCAGGACACTTATTTTAAAGGTTTGGATTAGATATTTAAAGCAGCATGTTTTGATTAAGGGGAAGGAACTGGAGCACCAACCACCTTTTATTTTTATATTTAATTACTTATTTAAAAAGGTGTGTGTGTAAGTACCTGAATTGGAGATGGTTTTTCCCAGCCCATCTCAAAGATTCCCATGAGTAGCTCCCTCTTCAAGCAATAATCTTCAAATTCGTTGCCTTTAGTTGCAGTCACATCCTGCAATCACAGAAAACATTTTAAACTTGAAGAAACAGAAACTGTAAAAACAAGAATTGTTCAGTTAATTCATTCGTTACAAAAAGGCAAACATTTGGTACAAACCGAAGTTTTAATCCTCATGTCTTTTGGGGGCAATTTTAAATTTTTCTTCCAGTCATCTCCAGGTCTGCGAAGCACAAACGATTAATCAAACGAGGGAAGCAAAGACATAAAATGTTGAATATTTATTTTAAAAAAAACACACTTGATGACTGCGTTTGTTGGAGGTGCTGGCTGGGAACTCCCGTTGACTTTGCCTTTCATCTGGTTGAGCTGCGGGGGGCCTCCTCCACCTCCACCTGGGGCTCCAGCAGGTTTAACAGAACCCCTCAGCTGTCCGTTCTGGTTGGACAAGCCCAAAATCACTGGGTTCTCCGTCCTGGTGGTGCTCATGTCTGCTTATCTGTGTCAGCTCCGAACACAACGAAGCCTTAAGTCTCCAAACAGTGAACCCCTCTCTCTCAGCTGGAGATTTCCTCAAATAGTCAAAAAATTAAATTCTAAACCAGATTTAATGGGGATGTCAAGTGACAAGAAACAAATCGTCTTTTTCAGTTTTTCTAAGACTTGTGAGCATGGAAATTAAGCTAGGTTTTCGCAGTTTATTCAGGAATTTAGCACACCAGGAAGGCTTAGAGAGCTGTTCAATGTTGGCCAAATGTTCAGCTAGCTGGCCATCCTGTGAGTCCTAAAGCCTCCGTGTCCCTCCAAGTCTGTCCAAACCTGAAAAAAACAGAAAATAAGAGTTTGAGATTAAACAACCACACTGTAAAAAGTCAACTAATAACGTTTTCCTTATCAGTAGCAGCTACAGAAGGCCTAAAGTCAAAAGTTAGCCGACGCTGCGGTTAGCTAGCAAAATGCTAACTACCACTAGCTATCAGCTAACCACATTAGCATCTTAGACAAACTCAATCAGAACAAATCAACTTCGACTAAAGCTACGATTACGTTTTGTTGAGATGTTTCACCGTCAAACATGTGTTATTGTCCGTTTAATCCAATTTGCTAACCCCGACGGGGATAACCGTGCTAGTAGCTTTTATGCTAGCGCATGATGGAGCTGACGGCGCTGTTATCGTGTTCTCGTTGCTCAACGTCATTGTTAAAACAGGTTCTCAGATATGTCAGGTTGTTTCAAAGATTCAAATTCACCACGTTTTCCATACACCCCCCAGCTAACGACGAGGACAGCCCGCCGTTTGTTAGGATAAGCCCGGCCGATTAGCGACAGCGTCGGAGCTAGCTCGAACCGGCTAACGGAGCCGAAACTACGTTTGAGCGAAAAACAAAAGCAGCTTCGATCATAAAACAAACAAAACCCGTCAGATACAGAAACATAACGTATCCACGACTCGTCACGGCTCGGCTGAAGGCGAGTTTACCTTGAATTACAGAAATAAATTGGTTCCTTTTGCGGTGTTTCTACTGACGGTCTAACTGACTGCAGGAGAGTCGTATCAAACAAGGAGTCAAGATGTCTCCCAGCCGTATTTAACCCGCCCCCAGCCAGTAAAAATCACCTGATTCCAGTTCAAATCAACCATTTCAGCTCCAATAATGCCCGAACAATAACACACATTTAAACATCTCGGATTATTAAATATTATTAGTTCTGGTCCGTACACTTAATGTTTTGTAAACAGTGTTTGAAGTGGAAACGACATCAACATTTGACCTGTTCAAACATAAAAGAAAAACATTAACTCTGCTGATCTGATGAGGGAATTTAGCTTTAAACTGTTTTTTTTTTTTTATCAATTAGTTTGGGAAAGATAACATGTATCGAAGACCGACATTTGTGTAAAAGGTTATGAGATTTTGTATGGCAGGTCGGTGTATCATATAATCCATGCTGTTGTGTTTTATTTCAATGACAGGAAAATTCACATATATCAACTGCCCCATATACCTTTCAGGTGTTTTCAGCTGAAATCATTTAGGTAGTATTAAGGTAAAAATACTTAAAAGTTTATGTCCTGATGCATCTCAGTAATCCAGGTAAAAAATAAAATAAAAATTGTGTAGGTCTTCTGGACGGGTTCTTCTCTAATGAAACGTTTCGTCTCTCCTCCAAGAGACTTCTTCAGTCTGAGAGTTTCAGGCAAAATTCAGGCTTTTAAGCACTGCCTCCATGTGACTGATACTCACATCACATGACTATCGTTGACACCTAATTAACACCTATTGTTAACAGGGGGTGGAGTGATACTGGCGATAGCAGCATTGTAAGAGGGGGACAACTGAAAACGGAGGCCTCCACCTCTGTTTAATGATGGACGGTCTTTAAACAGAGACCGTCTGTTTAATGACCAAACAGGTCATTAAACAGAGGTGGAGACCTCCGTTTTCAGTTGTCCCCCTCCTACAGTGCGGCTATTGCCAGTATCACTCCACCCCCTGTTAACAATAGTATCAGTCACATGGAGGCAGTGCTTAAAAGCCTGAATTTTGCCTGAAACTCTCAGACTGAAGAAGTCTCTTGGAGAAGAGACGAAACGTTTCATTAAAGAAGAACCCGTCCAGAAGACCTAAATATTTTTTTAATTTAAAAATTTAGTAAACTTTTATTAATTTATGTCTCATACATGTCAACTTGTACAGATTGTCCGTAAATTATAAGGATTTTACGTCATTTTGCAGGTATACGGATGTATAGAGGAACCTTACGGATTTTTTCAAGTCTTCCAGATTTTTTCAAAACCTCATTTTCAAATTTATCGAACATGTCAGAGCCTGTAGGATGATTTAAAAAACAATAAATAAAATCAAATAGCCATCTATTTTCTGCCGCTAGAAATAAGTGAACTTTTTCCGCTCTCCTTTCCTCCTGCTTCGCAGCAGGCGCTGTCGTCTCATTTTGATACCAATATTATTTAAATAGAGTTTGTAAATGCTGACATACAATCAGTTACATTTCAGCATGGTATTTTGAGCAAAAACGTAAAGAAAACCGATGGGTTAATTGGCAGCTACTGCAGGGCTGCCTTATCAACAACTTTTATCCCATTAAAGAGGAATTAAAAGGTGTTATTTCTGTACTTACAGTGTACCATCTGTGTGTAAGAACAGAGATAACACCATGAAAGGCCCTTGATGACCTGGTGTTTTTAAAAACTTTCTAACTTTGATCACTTGTGTGGAGAACCTTCCTGCCATCTGTTTTGTACCAAAGCAGCGAAGCCTACTTCCACCTCGTGACCACAGATACAGTATGTGTACCATCCTTTCTGCTTATAGTTTTACTGCAGAAACAGTTTCTGCATCATTTGAAACTACAAGAACAAGTTCATGGCTGTGTTTTTGTCCTAAATATAACAGTGAGAGACAATTCAGCACTCACACTATTGTTTCCCTGTATTATTATTATTATTATTATTATTATATATTTTTTATTATTCAGAGAGCTATTTGCAGTTTAACTACTTCTGCGTATTTTGTGCTTTTTTTAGCCATTCTTACATCAAAACGTTCAGTTCATTCAGCAGATCAATGATATTATTTACAGCGGGTAAAATAAGTATTGAACACGTCACCATTTTTCTCAGTAAATATATTACTAGAGGTGCTAATGACATGAAATTTTCACCAGATGTCGGTAACAACCAAAGTGATCCATATATACAAAAAATGTCCAGAAATGAAGTTATTTG